ACATCGGCGTCTTCTTCGTTCACTCAGGTTTTTATGAGAGGAGAAACTGCCGCTCAGAGTTAATTTCACTGGAAACACTGCTGACTCATTCGGTGCTGCTGATTCTGTGGAGACGCTGCTGCGCTCGGTGCTGTCGCCTCAGACTCTGATTTGCATTACAGGCTGCAGAGAGCACCAGTCCAAAGGCAGCACTGAACTTTACAACACACACTCCAATGATGCAAACACACTCACACATAAGTGTCCTTTATTATAAGTGCAGTCTTGCACTCGGGTTTAAACTGGAAATAGTTTAGTTTTTCTTTGTGAGAAAGTGAAAAGACAGATGAATGTGTGAAGAGTAAAGATAGCTTTCTATTATGCTGTAAATAGCAGATAATGAAATATTTATTAAATCTGTTTATCTGTGTGTTTTGTTTTTTGTTTTTTATTTCCAGTCAGTCATGTACGTTAACCTTTTGAAGATCTCTTTTTGTTTATCTTCACTGGATGCCTGTTCTGCTCTGCTGTGACTCTGACATTTAACAACTAAAAATTGTTTCAACAAAAAAAAGTGATTTAGGTATTTTAATTTTGTAAATTTTTTTAATTCCATTTTTTAAAGATGGTAAGATGGCTTTTTAGATGTTTTGCTTTGTTCAGTGCAGTAATTACAAACAGAAATGGATGAACCGAGTTGTCTACCCTGCTGTTTACCAAAGATGAGTTTTAAAAAAAAATTGTTTGTTTCTAGACCAAACTTAAATGTTGTATTCTTGTTTAATATGATGGTCAGGAATTTGTTTTATTTTATTTATTCGAATACTGCAACAGAATAAAGGTCATTTGTGTCCAGGTTACAGTTTTGTTTTTTATGACTCTAACTTGTTTTGCCATTCTTGCCAGTCGGTGACACTGATTGTTCCTTTTGTTGTTATGTCTATTTTTGACTAATGCATTTTAATTTTTTTTCTTAACATTTAGTTATTTCATTTTTCCTTTCTGGTCATGGCGTACTTTTAACTTATATCTCATATGCATTCTACACTGCCTCGACAAATCCGAAGAATGCATTTGTTGGGTAAATTATTTATCAAGGTACTTCAAAATATTAAGAACAACAGCAGCAGATGACGTTTGAGCTCTTTTTTTTTTAACTGCAAGTGTTCAAAAGACAGACATTACAAGCAAAGATGAGCTAACAGCTTGTTTGTCCAGGGCTTCTTTCCCCTTTATCAGGAAGTTTCAGTTCTTGTTGTCAGCCTGCACGTCTTGCAGAAGAGGCCATTTATGGTGGCCCCATGCTTCGCGCCTAAAGGTGACAATTGTTCCACGATCAACTTCTCGAACGTTGCTGGTAAACAACACAACTTCCTTATTTACACGGTGACAAAGCAGAAAACGAGACTACAAACGTGTTACAAGACTAATGAACCATGACTTTAATTTGGCCTTTAAACATTTTCAAAAACTTTTACTAGTTATCTTTTGTGTTTTTTGTAAAAATGTTTAAAGCATTTAGACTGGATTGTTGGTCTGCAGTTTACCATGCAGGCAGATTGTAACACAGTGTGACTTTTTACAACACAATTTTGTTCTTGTTAAGTTTCTGTTGTGTTTTCGAAAATTGTGTTATCGGTCTTAACTTCGCTCTGGTCTTAAGGTTTCAGAAACTTTGTAAAGTCACTCAAAGGGAATTGTTTCAAAGCTCAGATCAAAGTGCATGCAATCCAGTCTTCTTAAAATGTATTTATCAAATGAGTGGTGATTTAGTTGGACACCAGGGAGACACGCTGTTCTGTAATCCAGCAACACACCTGAAACCCACAGCAGCTTAGCATCGTTACGGCTTTGCAGCAAAATATTCCAAAGTGTAATCATTCAGCTCTTCTTTGTTATTGTATGTTCAAAACACTTTATGTCAAATATTTAAAATAACTTGTCATCTATGAACTGAAAATTGTAAGGGAATTTTTTTTTTGACACAAGTTTAGTTTTTACAGCAATAAACTGGTTAATTTACACCACACTGGTTATGGGCTTTACAAAGAAAATAATTAATCATTTAGCAAAGAAAAGGTAATTGTTAGTGTGTGGTTGTAGGTGTAGGTCTATATCCAGTGTTCTTTTTCCTGTTTAATAATTTCAGTAAGAAGATTGGCAAATAAAGCAACAGATGTATATAAAGTACTTGAAAGAAGTAAAAATACCTTAAGAGAAAGTGACTTAAAATTATTTCACTGGTAAGAAAAAGTACTTTATTAAAAGTTATAAAACTGCTCACAATAATCAGGAAAGTAAAAGTACTTTTACACTGGTTTTGAGTTGAGTAAATTGAGAAAGGTATAAATACTCAACTAGGCTTAGTGAAACCTGTTGACTTTAAAAAGTCAGCTAACTCAAAAAGTTAAGTTAATTCAACTCTTCATTTTTTAGCACTCATAAACAAACTCGTTTTCATAATGACTTATATTTAAATGTGTAACCTGTAATGAGGTGTTACATTTTGAAGTAAAGAATTAAAATTACATTGTTTGTTTTGAATGCAACAAAATTAAAATAAAAGTTAAAAAAATACTTGGTAATATGACAAATCCTCAAAAAAATCACCTAAGTACTGTAACAAAGTAAAGGTACATAAGAGGATTTGGGCCACAGAGCAAAAATATATTATTTTTCCTGAGTTCTGATTTTAATCACAGAATTCTGACTTTTATCTTAGAACTCTGCAAAAAGTCAGAATTCTGACTTTGATCCAAAATTGTAAAGTAACTAAGTACAAATATTTCTTTACTGTACTTAAGTTGAACTTATCTGTACTTTACTTGAGTAATTATTTTTCAGCCTTTTTACTTCTACTTCTTACATTTTCACCCAATTATCTGTACTTTCTATTCCTTACGTTTAAAAGGCAAAAAGTAGAAAGTCGTTACTTTTATTTCATTTTTGCTTGTTTTCCTCCCAGCTGCTTATAGTAAAAATTAAATATTATCCATATAAATTGTGCCTCCAAGATAGTTAATTTAATTGTGGTTGAATGAGAAGTATAAATATATAAAATTCTGATACCATATTTGTTTGTACACAAATAAATCACTTCACACTCTAGCAGGACACAATCATTAAAATAAAAGGACTGTGCTTAAGAAGTATTTGTATTTCATGAATTATATTATTGCATTTGGCTGCAGCCCTCGGATAGATTTTTTGGAGAAAAGGTTTGGGCACCTTTGATATATGTATATAAATGGGAACAGCTAGATAAGTGCATTTTAAATTTAACATAAATTAATTATTTTAATACAATATAGTCATTTCTGCATTGTTTTGGGGAGGTCACCCCCCAAAACATGTTATTACAGAAAATCTTAACTGCTCATTTTAATTCAATACTTTTACTTTTAATACTTAAGTACAAAAAGTATCAGATACTTTAAGACTTTTACTCAAGTAATATTCCTAAAGGAGACTTTTAACTTTTACCAAAGTAATTTTTTGGTAAGATACTTGTACTTTTACTCAAGTATCACTTTGTGGTACTTTATACAACACAGCTTTGATCTCAGAATTCTGAGAAAGACTTTCAAAATACTGACTTTAATCTCAGGATACTAAGAAAAATGTAAGAATTCTTAGATTAAAGTCAAAAGGCTGACTTTTTTTCAGAATTGGGAAAAAGTCAGAATTCTGAGAAGAATTCAGGGAATTTTTATTTATTTATTTATTTATTTATTTATTTACTTACTTACTTACTTACTTACTTACTTACTTACTTACTTACTTACTTACTTACTTACTTACTTACTTACTTACNTTACTTACTTACTTACTTACTTACTTACTTACTTACTTACTTACTTACTTACTTACTTACTTACTTACTTACTTACTTATTTTTGCTCTGTGGAATTCTCCGTATGAATGTACTTAGGTTTAGAGGTCAATAGTAACTTTCTAACAGCACGTTTACCTGGAGGATGAGCAGTGTTGCGCATGCTCAGTCGTGACTTTCATGCTGCCTTTACTAATATTAGCTTTTTTGACAGATCAATGGCGACGTTCGTACGAAAAAGGAAAATGATCAAAGCTGTAAACAATATACTCCCGTATTTTTGTATCTATGAATGTGTATTCGTTAAAAAAATTGACGACACATCCTCATTAGGAGTAAGTTATTTCGTCCTGTAATTTTTCCGCCTTTGTAAGGTTTGTAATGGGCAAATCTTCTTTACGAGGTGTACGTGAACGCATCACACGGAACCTCCTGAAAACACTCATTCATGTGACAGCCAGTTATCAAGCTAGCTGTCGTCTTCACGCCTTAAATGGGGACATGTGACACCTTAAGGGTTCTAATGTAACTCGAACACATGTGGGATTATATTAATGTAAACATAGTATCAGCAGGTGAATATTTCTAAGCTGAACAACTCTTCTGCTAGGTGCATTGGGAATCCTCAACGTATCGCGTTATGGGAGAGACACGGAGGTCAGGCGAACCGCGGACTGTCCACAGCAATCTGTTAAATAACTTTGCCACCGCTCCGATTAGCTGTCTAATTCTTCTGTAACCCCGGTAAGGATTGCCTTTAACACTAGAGACAAGAAGCCTATTTAGCTAAAGGTGGTTGGTCTGCAGGGATGGTTGTAAAAACATGGCCGATCAGTCAGGTAAACTGAAGCTAACGAGATTGTGACTGCAATGCAGTTAAGTGGTTTTCATGTTAGCCTCTTTTTGCTAACGTAAGCTAGCTAACTGGTAGGCGCTGTACGAAAAAATTACCACATTTTATCTGAACTGGGAAGCTATTTAAAGTTACGATACGTAAGCTCAGTTGATGAAAGTTATCCTATATTCTTGAAAGCTTTAAGTTACTGATGACGGGTCCAGTTTGGACTCAAAGTTAGTTACTCGTCTTGTCAAGTGGAAAACCCACCGCTGTTTTAATACATGTTTATATTTGCAGATCAACCTAAATCATGCCTGGAAAACTAAAGGCCAAAATAGTGGCAGGGCGCCACTTGCCTGTCATGGACAGAGCCAGCGACCTAACGGATGCCTTTGTAGAGGTAAGAGAAGATGGTATGTTTTTAAAATCATTTCAAATTATTCTGTTCTGTAACAACTCATTGATGACCAAAATCACACGCACAGTTCATTCAACCTAGCATGTTCTCAGAGAGCAGCTTCGTTCAGATCATTTAATGTCTATTCATATTGAAAGACACCACAAGGAAATTGGCTGCTCAGTAGTTGAAAACCCATATATATATATGTGTGTGTGTGTGTGTGTGTGTGTGTATATGTATTTATCTTTTATGAAAATTTATTTTCTTGTTTCTTAACTTTGTTAATAATTTTAAAAACAACTTCAAGAATAATTTGAACAGAGATTGTTCTCTTTGCTTAGGTGTCAAGCATTGCATTGATTTTGTTATTTATAATTGTAAAGAATAATTCAAGTCTTCAATTGAGACTTGGTAATTTGTCAGACCATTGCTTGTTTTAAAACATTTTTAACTCACTGCACTCTGGTTTCATTATTTGGTGCAGGTTCTTTACATTTGTTAAGTTAAATTGGGTTTTTAAAAGTTTTGTGTCTTGTAATTGTATTTTTCAGGTCAAGTTTGGAAATACAACCTTCAAAACAGATGTTTGTCCTAAGTCCCTCAACCCACAGTGGAACTCAGAATGGTTCAAATTTGAGGTAAAATGGACTTCACTTTTTCTTTTTACAGGACTGGTGTAAATAGATATAACAATGTAGATGCATTCTATGCAGCATCAGTATATTTGTTTTCTCTCTTCACCAATATATGCTGTTTAGGTTGATGATGAGGACTTGCAGGATGAGCCATTGCAGGTCACAGTATTGGACCACGATACTTACAGCGCCAACGATGCAATAGGAAAGGTTTATATCGACATCGATCCGCTACTCTGTTCTGAGGCTGCCTCCATCATCTCTGGCTGGTTTCCCATCTACGATACCATCCACGGTACAAGACTCGGCTCTCAGAAGTTTCACAACCCAAAACCTCTTGGGTTTTACCCTCCGTTAAGTTTGTTTAATGCATTTATTTTTCATTAGGTATCCGAGGAGAGATCAATGTCCTCGTGAAAGTGGAGCTCTTCAACGACTTGAACCGCTTCAGGCAGTCATCGTGCGGGGTCAAGTTTTTCTGCAGTATGTTTGATTAATCCTTAACTAACGTGTTTCAGTTAAATATGTCTGAAATGTGAAGGTATGTCTTTGTAAAGTTTTTGGCGCACAATTGAGTTCACCAACAGGAAATATATTTCTTTGCTGTAAACAAGGACTGGCTATTTTAAAAACAAGAAACGAGCTGAAGAAAGAACTTTTCTACCCAAATCTTAACGTTTTTCACTTTGTGGTTACCTTGTTTTTATTTGCAGCCACATCCATTCCACGAGGCTACCGTGCAACGATGGTACATGGCTTTGTAGAGGAACTGGTAGTGAATGAAGACCCAGAGTACCAGTGGATAGACCGCATTAGAACCCCCCGGGCTTCTAATGAAGCTCGTCAGAGACTCATCTCTCTTATGTCTGGTAAGAAAGCTGAAAGGTGATTTTCTTTTCGTTGAAACGAGATGGGTTTTTTTGCCTGTTAATATGGCTGCATGCTGCCCCTTGTTCAGGTGAGCTGCAGAGGAAAATAGGGCTTAAAGTCCTAGAGATGGGTGGGAACGCAGTGGTGGGCTATCTACAGTGTTTTGACCTGGAAGGAGAGTCTGGGCTGGTGGTCCGGGCTATAGGTACAGCCTGCACACTTGAAAAAATCACCTCTGGAAGCGCCCCGATGTGCTGCCCACTGCCCAACACGGCCCCTGCTTCCAACGCCTGCAACTCCCCTTCTAAAGATGGAAAGGAGTGAGTACGACCCAAAAACCCCAGCATGGACTTTTAACTCTGTTTGTGCGAAATGAAGTTTGTGAGATTCAGGAGGAGCAGTGTGTGCATGAGAGGGAGAGTGTGTGGACAAAATGTTCCGTACTTTATGTGGATTTGTGTAATTCAGCCAACCACCCTGTGTGTGTCTCAGTGTCCAGGATTCCCCATTATGGTGTATGCCTGTTGTATCTCTTGTATTGCAGCATGAAACTAACACACAACATAACCTGAGACACACACACGTACAGCACACACACAGCCATCCCTAGCCCCTCTCCCTCTTGCCTGGTTTGCTCTTTTAAACCGCTCCTGCATGGCTTTCACCGCTGCCTCGGCATGTTATGTTGCTTTGTGTTGTAATGAGCGTCCAGCATGTCTTCTGCTCGGCTTCGAACAGTGTCTCCTCTTTTTAGCTTTGCATTTCCAACTCTAAGTGGCTGATTTGTGATTTGTGGTCCCAGTTCTATTAGCGCAGCTGCAGCTGAGTGTGTGTTAGGTCTCGATTGCATACAAGTGAATGACTGCATCAGGGATGAAAACACCTGTTTTAATATACTTTGCAAACTGAAATTCAAAAAAAGATTTTTTTTTATGATTCACCATGAAAATAGATGATTAATACTAAAAAAAAATGTAATTATTACCCTTATAAAACACCTTTCAAACCTGTTACCAGGAATTACTGTTGGGTTTTTGCACAAAACAAAAAAGGTTTGCTTTGTCCAGTAATAAAAATGTGCTAAATCAGCTTGTGTATAATTTAACAATATTTTTCTCACTTAATTTATTTAGTAAGGTAAAAAATACATTAAAAAACTGAATAAATATGGGAAAAATATCAACTAAAATATATAGTTTAAAGCTCAAAGCATGTCGTTTTTCTCTTTTTTTTAACCTCTATTGTTTTCAGCAAACCTACATTACAAATCAATACATGAAACTAAAATCACAGTACTGGCATTCCCACACTAAAGTTGTGCCCATACTTTTTGACCTAATTCCTAGAGTCAAGTTTAATGAGGGGGAAATAGATTGTAATAAAACAGAAAAGAAGAAAATCCACCTATGAGGAAAACAAAGTCACAAAGAACCTACCATAGTGAACAGCTGGGGGACTTGAGGCCAGAAGGTCACAGGTTTGATTCCCCTCCATGCCCATGTGAGGGCTTATTATATTGTATATCCACATTAAATCATTTTAAAAATGTCTTAGTTGGACCTTTTAGTTGTTTTCATCCCTGTTTTTTATTACTGAGATCTTAAGCTGAGCTCTGTGCATGATTTTCCCGTTGCCTTTATGTGACTTTAATAAAACAAGACAAAAAGTGGCTGCAAAATAAAAAATCAGCTCACTTTTTGCATTTCATTTCCCTTTTTTGCCTCTTTTTTCCCCCCACTCGACTGCAATGTTGTGTTGTTTCTGTGTGCATCTCTTTCTTCCTCTCTGCCTACATTCGGATCAGGACATTTCTCACTTATGTCCAAAACACTCCTGCGTCTTCCCACTCTCTCTCTCTCTCTTTCTTTTTCTTTCTTTCTCTACGTGTGCTGATCGGCCCAGGTCTCCCCTTACCCATGGATGTCGCTCCACCCACAACAGCCCAGTGCATTCAGCCTGCAGCTCCCAGAGACTGTCCCAGAACTTCTCTGTCTCTGTTCCCACACTCATCTTCACTGGTACGCAGAGGCAGGGAAGGAGATCAGTTCACAAGAACCGCACAAATTCTGAAATACAAAGACATTATGGTGATGTGTTACCAGAAGGTGAGAAGGGAGAGTTTCTGGTTGGGAGGATGGATACTTTCAGTTCGTAGATCAGAGCAAAGAAGGAAGGCAGAATCCTGCACCCTTGGAGGAAATGGTAAACGGTGATATTAGACTTGATCCAGTTAATAAATGATGGGCAGCCGGGTTCTCAGTTGCATCATAATCCCATTCTGCACTTTCTCTACACTCAATTGACCTTTGCTTCTCTTTAATGGGACACATGCTTCAACTTGTCATCCTCTGTTGAGTTTGACCTTTTTCGCATTTTTTTTTCTCCCACTTTGCTTTTAAAACTTGTCTTTCTGTGTGCATTTCCTTTGCCTCCCATGCTTGCCTTTTAGTTTGTTTTCCCCACCACATTGAAACACATGGCACCCAAAGCAAACATGTCACACATTTAAAAAGTCACCTTCCCACTTCGGAGCAACATTGCGCACACGCACAAGACGCTCAGAGGGTGAGGCGGTGACTGACGTGCGTGCGTGTGTGTGTGTGTGTGTGTGTGTGTGTGTCATGTTCTCCTGGCAGGCCGGTATTTGGTGAGGATCTGCCCTTGTCCTCCGGCCCGCCTACCCCTTTCAGATCCCTCCCCACCTCCTCTTCCTCTCCCCCGCCCTTCTCTCCCTCCAAGCTGTGCAGCCGCCAGTCCTCGTCATCAGACACAGACCTCAGTTTGACGCCTAAGACGGGTAAGAGAACTCTGCCCACCCCCCTCGCCCATTCTCAACCCTCCCTACTCCTAACCCCATCGTATGGTGCTGCTATGGTGGTGTTTTTAAAAGTAATTTTGTTTATGAATTCATTTATTCCATTTATTTAAAAGCTTGACTTTATTCTTATGTTATTGTGAATAATATTTTGTCTTCACGTAGCCATTCCCTGCATCCCACTTGTCTCCAGTGAACTGGTGTGTCTTTTTTTATTTAATGCAATTTAAGAAAACAACAAACTATAAAATGGGCTTTTTATTGTCGATGCACCAGATCTCTGTTCCGTTTTTATAGTTTGGTGATAGAAGCATTGTGTCTCAAGAGGAGGCTGTTGTTGCTCTAAGGTCACTTTTGTGTTGAAACTATTCACCAAGGATGGAGTTTACTCAAATTTTGAGCACCATTTAGCCCAGAGATCCCTCTTACTATTGTTGCCGCCAAACCTTTTTAGACTGAATCAGCAGTCTCTCAGTCCTCATTTCTCATACTTTCACTTTTCCAGTATTGTTTTCTTTCTCTTTCCCATCATCTGTTTGTCTTTGTCCCCCATTTTCCTTTTTATTTACTTATACAATATCAAGTTAGGCCCAAAAATAATTGGGTGTCCTCTATTTGTTGGTTTAGCTATGCTCTCATTAGCCATGTTTCCATCAATGTTTTAATGTGCATTTTGAAGTATCGCATCAGAAAAGGTGAATGCAAACGACAAGATTCAAAAAAAACTTCCTCCAATTCTCGTAAAAGTTGATATGCTCGCTTGAGGTGGTTTTTGTTTTTTTCGAAAAAGAGTTAATGCGCAAAAGGAGAGATGGAAACACATTTGCCAAATCAGTTGTGACGTAGTGAACATTTACCTCACATGGTTGATCAACTGTTCTTGCTGTCTAACGGTACCGATACCAGAGTGACTGCAGCTGGACACTCCTCCCGCTGTTGACGTCATCTCAGTTAATCCCATAACGTGAAGAGAATTGCATTTCCTTCTCTACGTCTCCAGACAGCAGTAACATCGCCAGAACTAGCTGATATGACAGAATAATTACAACTTTCTCGATAGAAACTTGTTCCTGATAACTTTTCTCCATTTTCCTGAGATGCAACTTCTACTTCCTGTTTACTACACGCATGCATCTGACGTAATTGATTCGCTTCAAGTCAGTTGATTGGAATTGTCTGATTCGCATTTATTTGTTTTTTTTTTCCTTTTTGCAAAATTTTAAAAAATTCGCTCAAAATTCGAATAAAAATTGGATGGAAACACGGCTATTTTTTGTTTTTAGTTTTAATGAGCGAGACTTGTTTTGGTTTAGATCAGTTCTACTGGCTTTCTGTAGGTCATTCATGTAGTTTTCTTTTTACTTTCTGCTGTTTTGAATCAATCAGACACAAGACATTTAACTCATAGAATAATATGTTGACACAAAGAAAATAGCATCTTTGGATTTAAGTCCTTGGTGAAGCAGTGCTTTAGATTTGTGTGAATTTCCTCAAATTAAAACTGAATTTCTAAATTTGTTTAATGATAACGTTTAACTCAGACATCCAAATATTTCTGGCCTGAACTAATGGCATACTCTTTTGGTTAGGGATAAACTGTTTTGTCTTTTTATTGTCATTGCTACTACTTAAACTTTTTAAAGTCTAGGAATTTAGAAGTAACATATAAACATATAACAGTAGTTAAGAGTAGTTTGTTTCTCAAATGTGTTTCATTAATACATAGTTGTTTTAGAATACAGAGCTTTTCACATTAAAAACGAACACATAAGTTTAGTTCATAAAGATTTTTTGCAACTTTATCAAACTGAATCTCACAGGGATCAGTCATGTCATTCCAGACCGTTGCCTTAAGTAGAATAAAATGGTAACTGGCCTGAATGTACAGTACAGTATATAGCGCTTATCAAGTCCAGTGACTCCAAAGCGCTTCACAGTAGTCATTCACCCATTCACACACACATTCGCACACCGATGGTGGTAAGCTACATTGTAGCCACAGCTTTCCTGGGGCACACTGACAGAATAGCTGGAGCCTCCCTCCTTTGCTTGTTTCATTTTATTCTTTCCTTGTTTTCACTTTGTCCTTGTTGCCCCTCTGTTGTGCCTCACCCCTCTCTCCTCCATTGTTGTGTCCATTCTCACTGTATCTGTTTTTCTCTGTGCGCCTTCCATCTGTTTCTCTGCTGGATAGAGGACCCCCAGTCACTGAGATGCAGGCCGGGGATCTTCCTCTGCCCCAGATCCCCCATCCTCTCGACAGACACTCTGTCCCTTCCTGGTTCGGGCCCAGGGGGCTGTGGTCACGGCTCTGCCCCCAGAGCGACCACCTCGCCCCTTCCCTTCTTCACTCGCTCAGACTCTGCCTTGCTGAGAAAGAGCGTGTCCTTCACCGAGAACCTGCTGCTGGCAGCCTCCGGTATAGTAGGACTGCTGTGTGCCATCGAGTAACAGAATCTTATAGCAGTGAAGGGTTATGGCGCCTCGCTTAATCTACAGCAGAACTATTCAAACCCAGATCCTCCTGAATGGTGTTGTTAGAAATAATAACTCAGCATGTGTGGTAAAGCTGCCCTGAACACAATGTAAAGCAACACTATCGACTAAATCCTTGTTCTGGAATTTCCCACGCCAGCATGTGGTTTGAGACTAGAAAAGTAGGTTAGGATTAGCGTGACAGGGATGGAGCAGGTTTATTCACAATTTCTAATTTAAGATTCAAAAGTCACTTTCACTATGTTGTAAAATCTTTAATGTCACAGTGACAGTGTATTTGCTTCCTTGTTCATTGCCTGAGCTGAAACCAGTTTGTGTTCTGTGATCAGGAATGGGCAGTGGGGGCAGCGCAGGGAAGGAGGCGGGGCCATTGAAGACCCTGCTCAGACAACAGACACAGACTGCTCTCGAACAGAGGGTACGATGACATCAAACATTTACACTTACTCACACATTTGTTTACAGGATTTTCTTCCTCTTTGTGGAATAGAGGGGTGTTCCAGGGTATCTGAAATTAGCAATAATATAGCTCTAAAAATGATAATGACAAACTTTGCTCTGTAACTTGACTTAGTAGCTAAATGAAATGTTTTAAAAAATGTCTGCAAATGACAACTTTTGTAAACAAGAAGCAAAATCTATCAAAACAAAACAAATTGTTACCTAAACATCCCTTTGCCGCGTTGAGGCAGCTGTTAGAGTGGAAGCCAAACAGAAGAAGAAAGCTGTGCAAATTAACCCCCCCCCCCCCCATATAGTTGGACATTCGTGGGCCAAAGGAAATGTAACCCCTCTAGCAACTTCTGATTCTTCCATAAGTTAAGTTTTATTCGTTTATAAAGCACTTTTCATACTAAAAGCAGCTCAAGGTGCTGTACAAAATTATGCACAATAAACAAACCCATAAAAACAGCAACAACAATACAATAAAAACAACAAAACAATAAAAACAATCATTAAAAAAATGTAAAGATCAGGAAAGATACAGTTCAAGGAATACATTTAAAAAGATATGTCTCAAACCTGCTCTTAAAGAAAGCAACACTCTCTGCAGTCCTCACATTTTCAGGCAGACCATTCCACAGACGAGGGCCATAGTACTGAAAAGAAGCCTTTCTGTATGTGTTTGTTCTGACCCTTGGAACAGTTAATAGTCCAGTGCCAGAGGATCTTGGTGTTCGTGGCGGTTCATATGGTAATAACATTTCAGCCAGATAAGATGGCGCAAGACGATTTAATAAGACATTTAAAAACCAGTAAAAATAAGGCCTTCACCTAGAAGAACATGCTGAAAACACTTGAAGGGGAGGTAATCCTGATTAGATGCCTACACCACCTCAGCTGGCTGCTTTTCCATAAGGATGAGCAAAGAATCAAATCCAAGCTCCATGCAGATAACCAGTTTTCTTGCTTTATTGAATCCTGTGGAAATTTTAAAACTGAGCATTTTGGCACTATGGAGGAAATTAATTTCTGGTACCTTGTTCTTTTGGTCATGATTTGAAGTATGGTGAAAGGTGAGGGTTAAAATATAGGTAGACTGACATGGGAGAGAAAAAAATTGGCCCTTCCTTTGCTTATTTAACAGATTGCCAAATAGGAAAATGAAGATGCTGTTAAAGAATTTATGCTCTATTTTTATTGAAACAAAAGTACATATTGCTCAGAAGAAAACTAAATTGGCTAGTCGCTGCCCAGAATTTATTATTACTTAAAATTTGGTATCAGTCTTGGCCATAGAAAAATCATTAGTAAACCTGTTGTTGAAATGTAGATAAACTGGTATAAAAAGAAATTGGCTCAGCTTCCTCTTCTTTACCACAGCAGACCAGTGGAACGCCCTCGTCGCTGCAGACAAAGCCCTGATTTGTCACAAGGTTCTTGTTCTGTCCTACCATCATTTATTAACAAGAGACCAAATACAGTGGTGTGAAAAAGTTTGTCCCTTCCAGATTTTTTTTACATGTTTGTCACCCTTAAATGTTTCAGATCACCAAACTAATTTAAATATGAGACAAAGAAGACAAGTAAACACAAAATGCAGTTCATAAATGAAGGTCTTTATTATGAGGGAAAAATAAATCTAAAGCTACCCTGTGTGAAAAATTAAATGTCCCCCTGTGTTCTATCACTTCTTTGTAAATCTGAGTTTAATTTCCCTATCCACACCCAGGCCTGATTACTGCCACATCTGTTCTCAATCAAGAAACCACTTAAACAGGACCTGTCTGACAAAGTAAAGTAGACCAAAAGATACCGAAAAGCTAGACATCATGCTGAAATCCAAAGAAACCCAGGAACAAATAAGAATCAAAGACCTATCAGTCTGGAAAAGGTTATAGATCCATTTCTAAAGCTTTGGGAGAGAGTGCCATTGTCCAGAAATGATGAAAGCTTGGAACAGTTGTGAACCTTCCCAGGAGTCGCCGACAAACCAAAATTACCCCAAGAGTGCAGTGACGACTCATCCAGGAGGTCACAAAGACTCCAAAACAACATCCAGTTAACTGCAGGCCTCACTTACTTCAGTTAGGGTCAGTGTTCATGCCTCCACCATAAGAAAGATCCTGGCCACAAATGGATTGCAAGGCAGAGTTCCAAGTCGCAAACTTGAACTGGGCAAAAATAAACAAAGGCTTGTCTCAATTTCATCAGAAAGCATCTTGATAATCCCCAAGACTTTTAGGAGAATACTCTGTTGACAAAGTTGAACTTTTGGAAGGTGTAAGCCACATTACATCTGGCGTAGAAGTAACACAGCATTTCAGAGAAGGACCATCACACCAACAGTAAACTAGTGTGGTGGTAGTCTGATGGTTTGGGGCTGTTTTGGTGCTTCAGGACCTGGAAGATTTGATGTGTTGAATGGAACCATGGATTCTGCTGTCTAACAAACATCCTGAAGCAGAATATCCAGACATCGGTTCGTGACCTCAAGCTAAAGCGTGCAAGGGTTCTGCAGCAGGACAGTGATCCAACACACACCACCAAGTCCACCTCTGAATGGTTTAAGACAATTAAATTTACAACGTTGAAGTGACCTAGTCAGAGTCCTGACCTAAATCTGATTGAGATGCTGTGGCATGACCTTAACAAGGCAGTTAATTCTCAGAAACCCTCGAATGTGATTTTAGTAATTTTATGTTTACTTGTGTTATCTTTGTCTCATATTTACAGTGGTTTGCAAAAGTATTCATACCCCTTGAACTTTTCCATATTTTGTCACATTACAACCACAAACATAAATATATTTCACTGGA